TAGACTATGCGAGAATTTCCTACCAAAACATCGGCTTCCAACAAGTATACGTCAACAACTCTTCTAAATGCTCCCATTTAACTTTCCTATATATAATTAAGACAAGCTCGAATAACGAACAATTGAATCGAGTAATATATTACACGAAAAATTGTTCTTTAATGCTATCCACGAATAGTATATCAAGTTCGGACAGATGAATACAACCTCGTATGTTACAAAAATCGGCTAATTCTACATAAATGGCTCGATAACTAAACAAAAGACGAGCCATAACTTATTTCTTCATTGACTTTTTACGCTCTTCTCTTGCGGCCTCTTGGAACTCAAGCCAAGAGAGTTTTAATCAAGAAAAGTTGACCCAACATTGCCATGCTAGGCCTTATAGACTTCAGGTTTTCGTAAGATCGGCGAGCCACCTATTAAACAAATCAAAAACGCTATAGGTACAAGAAATAGATACCGAATTACTACAGGATTTTGAAATCCCATTACGTGGCATAAACAGTGAAGGACAAACCGGTTTGTGCCAAAAGTCTACCAAAACCGGGGAAATCAACCAAAACAGCCTACCTTGCAAAACTCAACCCATTTCGCCCAAATCACAAATTCTAAACCCTTTCCTCTTTCCACGAAAGCAACCAGGCCCCGTTTTCCACCTCCTTCCGCCTCAAACATCGCAAGCAACCGCTACCATTTTCCACAAATTCGTATTATCTCCTCCGATCTTCACCCGCCGATTCAGTCAAGACGAGAAATGAGAGAGCTTCTAGGTTGAAGCTGCTGTCGATTCAGCCCGTTGTTGACTGATTCCCTACATATGTTCGTTGCAAAATTCATCCAGTTCCCATGGTGAGTATGGTCTTCAGAGTCTAAATTATTTTGTGGGTAGATTTTATCGCGATCTCTGAACAATTAGTTGTGGTGAAAATTGTAGTATGTATATATTGCCACAGCCGTCCGTCACCAAACTCGTCCAATTCCCAAGGGTAGCGTAGACTTAAGTCTCTAAATTATTTTGTGTGTTGATTTTATCGCGATCTTTGAACAACTAGTTGTGCTAAAAATTGTTGTCTGAATACATGATTTGGGAATGTCTCAGAATTTGTTGAACTAGGTATGCAAATGTTAGGGAATGGAGTTTCCTGGAGCAAATCTGAATATATGATTTATGATTTGTTTGTGAATTTGTTGAACTAGTCAACTGGGTATGTAAATTTTAGGGATTGAATGGAGCCACTGTTTGAATTTTATTTGGAAATTGGGAATTTCATCAAATGTGTGTGATCATTCAGATGTGCATTTCGTTTTGTATCATTTCTATTAATTTGGGCGAAAACAATTGGAAGTTTTAATATCGAACAATGTTTGTCAATTATTATTAAAGTGTCAATAAGAGAAAAACCTACCTCTTTGCTTTCTGCATCGTGGGACTTCATATTTCAATACCATTCATGTCGGTTTATTTGTTTCATGAACAGTAATTGATTAGAATGAGAGGAAGGAATTTTGGAGGTTGTCACCGTTGTTGAAGTAACACTCACTATTTCTCACAATGCCACAAAATACGTAGANGATTAGAATGAGAGGAAGGAATTTTGGAGTTTGTCACAGTTGTAGAAGTAACACTCACTATTTCTCACAATGCCAAAAAATACGTAGATGCCCAGAGTGTAAACGTGGAGTTTGGAAATGTTTTGAGGTCGAACGGGATACCGTAAACAAAGGGCGATTGTTCTTCACGTGTAGTAATGATTGTGGGTATTTCGATTGGGTGAAAAAAGAAGATTTAAACGGGGAATTGAGTACCATTAATGAAGAGCTGAATCATGAGCCCAATGAGGAAGATGAAGACTTGTCAAGAATATTTGACAGTCTAGCTCGAATAACTGAGAAACAAGACGTCGACATATCATTGCACTTAACATTTCGCATGGGAAAAAGAATTGCCGAATGTGATGATAAAGGAAAGGGACCGACTTGAAGTTGTGATAACAGTTCAGTTTGTAGTAGACAGAGTACTATGATGTCATTTTGTATTTGCTTTATGATTTGTTGTAACGTATGAACTTGTTGGTCATAGTAGGATTTTATTAACATGGTAGATTTTGTTAAGGTCGGTTCAGTGTTGGACATAGGTTCAATATTATGGTAATCGTTTTAATATATTAACGGTTCGGACGTGTTTTGCTTATCACGTTAACATATGTAGTTTTAAGATTGTGATTTTGTTTTTTTTGTTTTTCATTTTTCATACAATGAGATCATTGAGTACCGTTTCAACTACAAGTACCAATTCACTTTGCAAATGGTGCCACTAAAATCCTAGTTATAAGCAATAAGTAATGTTTCACCAAATTACTTCATTGTTTGCAAATGGTGCCACTAAAATTCCTGTTATAAGCAATAAGTAATGTGATCCAAATCACTTCATTGTCCATACATTGTCTGTCAATAAGCAATAAGAGAAAATATTATATAAAGGTCTACAATAACTAGTTCAGAAAGAAACCTAGAACAAAGTACAAATTCCATAAAAAGGAAAATTGTGTGTGATCCCTAATAGCAACCGGCGCATCCATTTTCTACATAAAATACGCCATCATTCTACACAGTATTGACTCCAAGTTCCCCCATCCTCTGCCCAAGTCCCCCTTTGGCCACTCACAATTCATGTTAACTTGCAAAAAGTTCGGGATAAGCTAAGACTTTCATCAAGAAATATATGACTGCAGATAGATGTGTTCCAAAATTTAGCAAATATTCATCATTCAACTTCGGCAATGCCTCCACCGGACATGCTACTATCAGATATAGTCTCTCTCACGAACCTAAGAATTGGCATCAAATATAAGTGGGTGAATATTGTTCATGAGAATAATAACTTGGTTAAACACATACTACGAAAACAATAATAACTTGCTTAAACACATTCTATGAATACAACATTCATAAACATAACTAATGTCATCTTCCAGTAATTAGTGTAAACAGTACCTTCCATTCTATAATCCCAATTCGTTAGCGTCGGATAGATGAAGGGTGAATATGGATTGTGTTGTGCGATGGCTTCGTTAGCATTGTCACCCTGTATGCTACCAACCATTAGGTGTTGTGAATATGAGAACGGTGTCGGCATAGAACATTGCGATACTCGAGATTCATCGACGTTGGTTGCAGCCTCATCTGTAGTACTAGGCCTAGCCATTTGCCTCTTCCCTTTGTCCGAAACTGATGTGGACTACATTGTTATCGAATTAAATAACAACTCGGACTTAAATTCCAAATCAATTAACCAGATAATGGATAAACATACCTTCACTTTTCTTGAAGGGGACTCTAACGGGCTTTTGATTCTACGTTTCCTTGGCGCACCCTTTCTGTTCGACGATTTGGAATCTAATATGCTGCCGGTTTCAGTATTTTGCGAACCAGAACAAGTGGAGGTCGATCGAATAATATGATGCGAAAGAGAAGTGCTTCCAGTACTCGACTTTACCATCTGCATATGTTCAGCTTGCAATTTTATCCACTCCTTTATTGCACATCCCATCCTTCGTCATTTGCAGCGAGGTCTGCCACCTCTGAAAATGCCTGACACAACTCATCATATCTTAACTGTCCAGGAGTATTGCCTAACCCATCATAATTTACCGCGACCCTCGTGTGTGCTCTACTGACATCTCTCCTCCATCTCCGTATTATATACCTATCAGGCATTGATGTGATGTCATTACGGATAAAGACTGTGATCGCATGACTGCAAATGATTCCTCGAAATTCAAACAAATGGTAACTACATACAACTTCACACGTATCCCTCAGAAATGAGACACGAAATGTGATTTTCTTTCGGTGCTCATGTTGTACAACATGTTCACGGATCTCGTAAGTTG